AGATTCAAAAAGTGCTTAATTTTTATATACATAGCTAGCGGATTCTGTAAAATTGCTCTCGAGTTGAATAAAATTAGTAAAATTGTTAATTTTCAGAAACATTCTGAACTTTCACGGTGGACTGCGTACAAAAAATGTCTGGATTTGGTGCTAAAGAAGACCGATGACAAAAAAGCAATGGAAGAGATGCTGTCAGACATCACGAACTTCTGATGAAATGTGGATTCTTCGATGTCTACCTTCAATTCGACGACTATCGAAAACACTGAAAAATTGAAAAAATAAGAAATTACTATTCTGCGGAATGTTCTGTATTTCCTCTAATAGAAGCCCAGCCAAACAATCAACTTTGAGCTAAATTATCTCAATTCCTATGAGATATATGAAAAACTTGTCAACTGATAAAACATTAGCGATGTTATGATAAGAATTTATCAGTTAAGACATCCATCAGCAAGTAACTTTGCTCATATACAATGTACAGTTTTCCAAATAGTATCATTGTGTAGTACTTGTTGAGTTCTATCTTACCTAGTTTGGTTGATCCAAAAATATTGATTCTAAAAGGAATTTTGGCCCGCCAGCGGCTCGAATTACAAGTATGTAAAAGTAGGTAAAAGCATACGTTTTTGTGTTAGCTGTAACTTTAAAAATTTCAGAGACCCATTCTAGAGGATTGATATCAATGACGGGGAAAGTACAGAAAACAACAATTCACAGAACCCTGACTTGTCGGATTCCACCTTCAATTTGCGACAAAAGAAACAATGCGAGACTTGAAAATATCCATTTATTTCAAAAAATACAAACTACAAATGTTCGAATAACAAGTACGAAACGAATTAGAGAAATATTTTTTAATAAAAGCACCCTGTAAGCATATTTAATAAGAAAAGATATTCATTAAAGGGGGACTCCGACCAAAAATTTTTATTGCATCAAAATGTGTTAAAAGTTATCTATTTTCCGAATATTATTGCGAAAAAATTCAAAAAAAAATCCGAAATCCCCGAAAAGCGGCGTTGAAAAGGAAGAAAATTCAAAAAAAGGTGCCGCCGGGGGACGAGGATTTTCAGTGAGAAACCTAGGCCACGGCAGCGGGCGCCTTTCCTACGTGGCAATTTTTCCGGATTTTTTTCAATTTCATGTCCGGCAGGTAAAAAACGTAAAAAACCACTGTCGGCGACTTGAAAAAAAGGCTGTCAGGTGCCGTGGCCTAGGTTTCTCACTGAAAATCCTCGTCCCCCGGCGGCACCTTTTTTTGAATTTTCTTCCTTTTCAACGCCGTTTTTCGGGGATTTCGGATTTTTTAAAAATTTTTTCGCAATAATATTCGGAAAATAGATAACTTTTAACACATTTTAATGCAATAAAAATTTTTGGTCGGAGTCCCCCTTTAAGCAAAAAAGTGTACTGAAATTCCATTCAATACGGTTGTTTCAAAAATGCATGGAAAATGAAAAAAAAAATCAATGAATGTCTTTTTCACATAGGGTTTCCATTTGGGCGGGTGGAAAAAAGAGCCACCCGCCACCCGCCGGGTGGGTGCGGGCGGGTGAATCTCCCCTCCCCCAAATGGAAACCCTACTTTCACATGCTTTACAACATATTGCTACTATAAATAACATAAACAAAGGGAAAGTTTATTTCCGAAAGTTTATTTGTTATAATCAGATATGGAACATTCCTGACAACATTCAGGACAATCTGGGGGGATTTCAAAACTCATGGCTAGTCTGATTCCAAAGTTTTTTTTCTGGCACAGTATATGATTCTGAAGACGATGTGCCATTCGTATCCCACTGTTGTTTGTTTTATATCAGAGTCGGGTCAATTTGGAGAAGCAGAGACAGAGAGCAAACACGTTCTGAACAGAAAGGTTCCTGGTCTTTTTTCTACCTCTTTTTGTATTGCTAATTTCCAATTTCCAATTTTTGTTCTTAATTCATTGATTTCGCTTACTAGTAATTCAAAAGAGAAAAATGATTCCTATGCAAAATTATGGTTTTGATGCTCGTTCTTCATTGCCTCGTCAAGTCACTGATATTGAACAACCGAAATCAAAAACCAAAATATGGTAAGGAGTTTGAATTTTTTTGTAAATGGAAACAAGTCTTTTTCCAGGTATCACTGGTTGAACATTCGTTATCGTCAGTATATGATTTTGGAAATGTCGTTGTCATATCACTGACTATGATTCTCTACAGATTACAAACTATATCCAATCAAAACGATCGGGTTTTAGAAATACTAGGATCTGTATTGATAACCTTCTGAATACCAATTATTTTGCATAGGTCAATTCAATGCAGTCTCAATTTGGTAATGTGGAAAGAAAAATAGGTTCGTTAGTTTCTCGAAAACCGTACCAGGACATAAACCAGTTTGAGGGTACTAAACCTCTGAAACAATCAATTGCTGATGTGTTGAAGAGTATGAAAATTCCTACACAAAAATTAACTGACTACATGGAACCGACCATCATTCCGCAAATAAATCAATCCATATCTAAAACTGCGGAGAGTACTCTGAAAGTACCTATCCCCAAAGAACAATTTCGATTCAATGCAGCTGATTACCAGAGAGGAGCATCTGTTGATATGGATCATTCTTCCAGTTCAAATTTGAATCCAATAATTGGACATGATCAAACTAACCTTGTTTTACTTGATCGTCCTCAACCACCATCAGATAACGCATGGTGCACAAATGATGAAAATCCAGTACTCACTGTTAATTTGGCCAAGTATATAAAACCAATTTCTGTATCATATCAACATTCAAAATGGAATGAAACAATTCCGAATGGGGCTCCAAAAACATATGATGTTGTGGTGAGTTGTGTTGATTTTCTGTTGAAGTTAATCAGAATATTTTCAGGCTTGTCTTGATTTCTACTGCGAAAAGTGGAAACCATTAGTATCAAACTGTATATACAGCCAATATGTATCAAGTGAACCAGAACAGATGTGTAATATTTCTTCCCATCTGGATGTTCCTTCAATTGGAAAAGTCCAATTCCGATTCCGTGAAAATTATGGAGACGCTCAAATGACTTGTGTTCACTTGGTTCGTGTTTATGGAGAGACTGAAACACCTGTCAAAATTAAAGAGAAGAAGGTGGAAAGTGAAGAAATTTGTGCTGATTTGAGATGGTATTATCATAACAGCTACTTCAGATATACATGGGTAAATGGAGTTTTAATCTACACTGAATACAAATGGTTTTTTTCAGACGGATAAAAACTGTACAGCACACTTGTAAAATTCCGGACCGGCCCGCCAAAGCCCGGGCCTGAGGAAAATTTTGAGGCCCAGGCCCGGCCCGGAAGACCCGGTAGCAAAAATTTTGTCATTTTGAACCGAATTTTGAGCTCTCAATACAAGTTTCTATATTTTTTCTGTGCTTTTTGGATTGTTTGTCTGTTTGATCAAAAAATATCAAAAAAAATTTTTGATCGAAAAAAATCACATAAGGGTCCCCCCTTATGTGTTCATTGAAAATTTCAAAACTTGTGGCATGACAGGCTCGCCGGGCCGGGCCGGGCCTCCGAAATTCGGGAAAAAGCCCGGCCCGTTACAAGTATGCAAAAAAGGAGTACAACACCCGAAAGGTGGAGTCGAACCACTGCGGCGCTAACCGCCTACAGATTTGAAGTCTGCACCACACACAGGTCCTGGGCGCGCATACGCATAATGGATGGGCGACGGAGGACGCGCCGATGAATTGGGTACAGGGAAAGGACGCCGGTATGGGGCATATACGGGGCATATGGGGCACACCGCCGCCGCAAAGCATCTCCTCGCCTGGCTTGCTGGCACTCGATGAAATGAACTAAAACGTTGGTTGGGGGTTCCTAGAAGTATCAGTTAAGTTCTATTGTGATGTGATTTTGTTCAGGTCTTCCGATTTCGTACTTTTCCTTTATTATTCCATATTTTTTTATATTTTGAACGACATATTACTGATTTTTCGAAACTCAATGTTTTGGTGTTGAAAAAGACTTATGGCAGTTTCCATTTAAATTTGATATGCAATCAAAAACAGAAGAAAATGGGAAAAAATTCGCTAAAAATTGTTTTTTTTTCATTTGTTCAAAAAATATGTCTCACTTTCACTTTTTTTGAAATTGCATGAAAAATTGAAAATTTTTATAATTTACACTTTGTAATTATTGTATACTTACCAACTTACCTTTTACTCCACCTGAAAATACGATTTTTACAATAACTACAAAGTGAAATAAAAAAATCTCAATATCACCTATTTTGGCGAAAAACATAGCAATTAACGAGTGAAAGACATGTTTCTGCAAGAATTCATTTTTTAGTCTGCCATAACTCTTTTTCACAAAAAACATCGAAGTAATAATCGAAAAACCAGAAATGTAGGCTCGAATTGACGAAAAATTGACAAAGTTGCCGGTGTGGATTTACGGTAAACAATGGGCGCATCCGGGATTTCGGAGTGCTGTAGTCGGCCTACCGTATCAGACCCATATCGCACACATCGCCCACCCACCTAGAATCCATCTAGGATACGCGCGCATTCGGAACACTCGATTCAGCCTCTCCCGCATCGCACACATATGAGACTCATCGCAGCTCGTTGTTCGCGTATGTGTCAAACGGACTTTAGAGGATCGCATATGGATCGGGTCCTTTATGCGCATCATCGCCCAGGACCTGTGAAAAACCGCCATGGTTCACTCGGGCAACTCATCAGGGAAGCGGCGACTCTTATAAAGGGAGGTGTTTCGAAGCGGCCGACACTTCCCGGGTTCCGCGCGCCACTATGAAAAAGAGTGGGGGAGGCGGAGTGACAGAGTCTCTGCCATAGAGAGGAGAGAGGCAAGAACTCACGCATTAATAGGGTCAAATTATCTGATTTGCATGTCACTTCCATAGAATTGAGTCTGGTGTGGATGCATTTCAGCCTTCTTCACGAGTCGTTGAGTGTCATAGAGTAAGAAAGCGGAGAAAAGAATCAGTCCTCCGTAGATGACAACAGAGGCGAAACCTGGAAAATAGTTAGATGTGCAGGTTATCTATGACTCTTATGGGGTTATTCATGTAGCGAAAATATGTATTGAAATGCATTTCCGCGCCCTCGAAATTCAATGCATGAGCGTTGAACTTTGTGCAGGATGGGGAAAATCTTTAAAGGCGCATCCCTTTTTCCAGAAAAAATATCTCGCCTCG